TTGTGTTGAAAATAAGTGTAAATAAATAATAATTTATTATGTTCATGTTTATTATGTTATTCGTTTTCAATGATATTATTTTATAATAATTTATATTATTATTTTATTATATTATTCCACTATAGTTCAGACCCTGTTTTTCATAAAAATAAGTAAGTACCTACTACACATTTAATGTACAATGATATGATACAGAGCCGTGCGATGCAAAGCCCCTCCTTTGAAAAATTTTCATATGATAATAATTTTTAGTACAATATTAACTTTTTTTTTATTAATCAAATTGCGCATTAGGTACTATTTATTGTTAGATAGATACCAAACAATCAATTTGTTATTATATTTTATAAACTGAAAATATACTTATATCTGGTATAAGTCTAAAAACTATTAACAAATTATTTATTTAAATGTGGGATACCTATATGGTCCATGTATAAATCCATATCTAGATTTATATATATATATATATCAGATTCTCTATAGTCGATTGTAGTTGAAGATAAGTGATAACTAGAAAGGAAACTAAGAAAACATTTTCTTTTTCTTTTTTAATTGAATTGTATATAGGTACCTACTATCTACTATTCTACTATTTAGCATTTAGTCTTATTTATTAAGGTACATACTTCACTAATTCGTAGTACATATTTCCAATTTCGAGCTAATGCTTTGCGTCGGGCCCTCGACTATCGGGATACTTTTATGTATCCTTATATAACTATTATTAGTTTTCATTATCTCTGGCCCTTTACTCCTTAGTAAGTTTATAGGTCTATGGATATAATTATAACGTCTCTTGTCGTCAGTCAAGATTTAGTATTTAGGTATTCTTTAATCTATGATCATTATGTAGTTTTTGTTGGTAAGTAGGTACCTTAACAAAATGTKTATATGCTATTTTTCATCATCATCATATTATTCAGTGTTACAGAAATTATTATAATATGTCCGTGGCGTTTTAAAAACGTTGAGGTGTGTTCGTGTTGAACACCGATTCTTATCCAATTTTTTGAATTTTTTTGAAATATTCATATTATCTGAAATCAGGATTTCCAATGATGATATTGGCAGTAGGTAAGGAATAGGTACGTAAAGACGTATACTTTGACAAACATAATCATTCGTGGTCTGCGTGTCTCAGTGTATATTTCCGATACTTCCGATATTGTTATATGTCCGAACGAAATATGTCACAAGAAAGTGATAATATAAAATTAATTACTRGTCAACGAGGCAATTTATTGGTTGTATTTAAAAATTATAAGTACCTACCCGTATAATAAAAATATAAAATACGCGTCTGGTGAAATAAAATGGAGGTGCTATAACAAAAATTGTAATGCATTTATAAAAACTGATTTAAATATTTAATGTGAACGATATTATATTATAATTTTTTTTTTAATAGCATATCATATTGATTTTCTTCACTGACGGAGTTTACAGTAAAAAAAGGTAGGTACTTGTGGCGGAGTTTACATGCGCCCAGTTATTTATATGTATTCATTTCGAAGACCTAAGCTTTGAATTTTCCGAAACCACTTGAATTTGAAAAAATAATAAAAATCCATAATTTGATACATAAAAATCAACTATAATCGTTGATTGAGAAAATTCTAAATATATTTTTCTCAATTTTTGTATGTATTTCCAGCGGTGTAACTATGGAGGTGTTAAAGGTGCTTAAGCACCATCCCCACTTGACTTTAAGCTCTCCAAATTTATGTCATTGTAATTCCAGATAGCTATAGTTAAAAATGTAATTTTTATTTTTAAGAATTCATCATTATTTTTTCTTATCTTGCATTCTATTAACAGTATATTTATATTATTGTATTATAGATACCTACTCTTAAATTACAATAAAATAATAATTAATGTACCTAAATTTATTATTTTAGTAACTTTATTACTTTCAGATATTTGGTCGAATCCCGGGAAAAAAATCCAAGGAAAAAATAACCAAAATAAAAAAACCAACA